GAAAAACAAAATAGCAGAATTAACTTTAAGAAATATTAATGACCCTGAGAAAAGTATCACTTTTGATTTTATCGAAGTTTCAGTGATTACATTAGCGAACATAAAAATGCCAAGTAATCAAATAAAAATAAACTAAAGAGCCTTGAAATAACGTTATTAGAGCCTAAGTGGAGTGACTCTAGATTTATGGGTGAAAATGTTTTGATTTTGTTTGATCCCGACATATTGTGGTCTATTAGCAATGATCGAATTAAAAGAATTAATTATTCTGCGGTTGCACTTGAAACTATTTTCGAATGGTGTGTGCAAGGGAAATTTCCCTCCTCAGACTGTAATGAATTGACGAATGTTATGACTAATCTGACCCTGGAAGAAAATATGAGCATAAATGAGTCCTTGAAAATGCTTTGGGAAATCGAATCAATTGGAATAAAAAATATCTGCGAAGAAAAAGAAACAGAAAAAGCTTTAGAATTATTTTCTTCATCAATCACTCAGAAGGAAAAGAGATATGAAATTAAATTACCCTGGAAGGAAGAAAAACTATAACTTGAAGATAATTATAAAAATGCAAAATTTCATTTTTTCAAATTGTTGCAAACATTTTGGAAGAACTTAGAATTATTTGAAGAATATAAAGAAGTTATTCAAAGGCAATTAAAAGAAAAAGTAATTGAAAAAATTTGTGATGATTCAAATTCCATTGACATAATATACTATATTCCTCATCATGCAGTAATAAGGCCTGAACACGCAACTACAAAATTAAGGATTGTGTATGATGCTTCATCAAAAGAAAAAGAGGAACTTTCTCTCAATGACTGCCATTTAGATGGACCGAACTTTTTACCGGATTTACTAAAAATTCTCCTGAACTTTAGAAAATATCGAATAGTTATGACATCGGATATAGAGAAAGCATTTCATCAAATTTTTTATTTCTCCAGAGGACAGAGATGTCATGCGTTTTCTTTGACTTGATGATGAGTCGGATTTACAAAATCCTAAAATTGCAGTGTACCGATTTTGTAGACTAATTTTTGGAGCCAAGTCAAGTCCATTTTTGCTTGCTGCCTGTATTAAGCATCATCTGAAGAAATTTCGAGATATTTATCCTAAGACAGTTCAACTACTAGACAATTTCTTATATGTCGATGATTTCATCACCGAAGTAGACTCAGAAGACGAGGCTCGTCAAGTCTATCATGAGACTAAAGCATCTATGAATTTAACCAAAATGGAACTCGAACTCGGAAGAATTAAGGAAAGAATTTCTCCCAGAAAGTAAAACTTTAAAATTAAATATGCCTGAAGCTTCAGCAAAGGTACTTGGATTGAGATACTTTTCAACAGATGATTGTTTTACATACTCACCAGCTGATGTTGTACATACTCCTTCAGAAAAGAAACTGACCAAAAGAACTATTCTTCAGATTTCATCGAGACTGTTCGACATTGGGCTACCTGACGCCATTTTCCATTCAAGCAAAAATTATGTTTCAAAAACTCTGGCTAGATGGCATTGATTGGAATCAACCGGTTCCAGAAGAAATAAAAGTCAATTGGAACTACTGGTGTAACCAACTATAAGGATTATGTGAAGTCAATATACCACGTTGGTATTTTCGATCGAGAGAGACTCCACAGAATTTAGAAATGCATGTTTTTTGTGATTCTTCGCAAACTGCATATGGAACTGTTATCTTTTTAAGATTCACTGCTTCTAGTGAAATTCGAACATCGTTTGCTCTAGCTAAAGGAAAGGTAGCTCCTTTGAAGGAAATGACTTTGCTTCGGTTGGAGCTCATTGCTGCAGTTATTGGAGTGCGATTGTTGAAAATTGTGCAGGAGCAATTTCCTAATGCAAAAGCTCGTCTATGGACTGACAGCTCAATTGTACTCAACTGGATTAGAGGATCAGCATACCGTTGGAAAGCCTTTGCGAAAAATCGTGTCAGTGAAATAAAAGAAAGTACATCTCCAGAAATGTGGTATCATTGTTCAGGCAGTGATATTTTGGCTGACAAGATAACCCGTTGTGTAAAAATCAAAGATTTAGTGTGTGACAGTGTGTGGGCCTATGGTCCTTCTTGGTTATCCGAATCAGAAGAAAACTGGTCTGATAAAAATTCTTCTGAAATCGCATTACTTTCTTCTTGTGATGAAGAAAAATATGATGTGACACCTGTTGTTAAAAATTGTGAAATTCAACCTATTTTGTGAATTTCAAAGTTCAGTAAAATTAGTGCGCGTGACATTCTACGTCTTCAGATTTATTAATATTCTGAAGACAAAACAGAAGTACACAGGTCCGATTTCTGCACTGGAAACCGAAAAATCTTGGGAATACTGGATTAAAATGTCTCAAGCACAGAGTTTTTATTCTGATATACAAAATCTTAAACAAAATAAATGTGTAGATAAAAATTGTAAATTAGCTAATGTTAATCTTTTACAAGATGATAAAGGTATTCTAAGAGTGAAAACTAGATTAATTAATTCATTTTTAGATGTGTATGAAAAATGTCCAATTGTTCTTTCTAATGATTATTTTGCAGAATTAATTGTTTATGATTGTCATGAAAAGGTATTACATAATGGTGTTAATGAAATGTTAATTCAGGTAAGAAGTAAGTTTTGGATTTTAAAAGGGAGGCAATTTGTTAAATCTATTTTGTATAAGTGTAGAGTTTGTAAAAAATTTACAGCTAAATGGGGTAAAGAAATTATTTCACCTTTACCTATTGATAGAGTAGAGAAATCTCAACCATTTGAGATTACTGGTATTGATTTTGCAGAGCCATTGTATTTAAAGGATAATTCTAAAGTGTATATAAGTTTATTTACATGTACAGTTACTCGTAATATTAATTTAGAATTAATATCTAATTTAAGCACTGAATGTTTTTGCTATCATTAAGACGATTTTTTGTCGTCGGGCTAAAACTTTTAAGTCTGCCGATAAAGAACTCAAATATTTGTATAAAATGTGTAAAAATGATGAAGTGCGTAACTTCTTAAAGAAACATCAGTTAGAATTGAAATTCATTGGAGAAGGTGCCCCATGGTGGGGAGGCTTTTGGGAAAAGCTTGTTCGATCTGTTAAAAATTGCTTAAAAAATTTTTGGGTAAAACTTCTCTTTGTTATGAAGGATTAATTACTGTATTAGCTGAAGTAGAATCGGTTATTAACACTAGGCCATTAACTTATGTTTACAATGATTTAAATGAGCCTGACCCTCTAACTCCTTCACACTTTACTGTTGGGTCACGTTTAACTACTTTACTGTCTGCAAATAATCTTAATTTAATGTCCAATAAGGTGGAATTAACCAAAAAGTAGAAATATAGATTACTATTGTTGGATAATTTTTGGAAAAGATTTTTTAAGGAATATTTATTACAGTTAAGATCTGTTATGTTTTCTAAACAATCAAAAAATGTGAATACTTATAAAGTTGATGATGTTGTTCTCGTGAGAGAAGATAATGTTAAGCGCTAAAATTGGAAGTTAGGAAGGATTAAAATTTTGTTTACAGGTAGAGATGGAAAAATTAGATCATGTGAGATTCAATTGGAAAACAATGCTGTAAAAAGACCCATTGAAAGACTATATAATCTAGAAGTGCAATAAATATTTAAGGCATCCAATAAATGGATGCATGGTGGGGAGTGTTAAGTAATGACTAAAATTCATGTAAAGTTATATCCATAGATGGCGCTGTGCCAATTATTTTCTTTCTCATATTTGTTATATTTTTATTCCCTCTTGTGCTGTCCACATGAAATAAACGTTGTGTTCGTTTCTCTGGAGTCATGCTTATTTTGGATATCCAAGTATCTTTAGAGTACAAATTTGACAATAGTTTCAGAGTTATTTTAAGTCGAATTTTGAAATTTTTGCTACACTATACAACAAGGGCGCCGGCAGAATAATATAAAAGGGGGTGCAACCCTCTAACAAACTACCCCCCCCCCCCGCCAAAATTTTTTTTAAATATTCTGTTATTACATTTTGTTTTGTTATTAAATATACTTTCATCTGTTAATTTTTTTCAAGATGCATTTCTTCATTGTTAACAAGATATTTAAAAAAAGTACGAATTTCCTGTACTTGCAAATTTTGCCACGAGAAACTGTATTGATGGCGCTGGCATAGCTACTGACTTTGAAACACAAATAACTACAAACAGTAGTTTCGTATACTAACGTGTTTGTGCAAGCTTAACATTGGTATTTATTGTGCTGATGAAGTTTTACAGTTGTAAGAAGTCAGTTTGTGTTATACACCTTTGTTAAACTAAATAACTAATAGAAAATATAATATTATTTATATTTTATTAAAGGAAATTTAGAAATATAGCTTAGATATCTGCCAAATTTGTGCATGCTCAGTGTGCATAAGAAAAGAATGAAAGATGACTCAGAATTCATTGAAAAAGTTATAAACAGATTTGGACAGCAAACAAGACGATTACAATTCTTGTTAGATTAAACAATTTTTTAATTGTTATAGATCAGTAATTACTTAATTATTTGTTTTTGAATAAAAATATTTTCAATAAAAAATTTTTATAACAAAATTGTTTTTCTGTATCCCTTTAATTGCTTAAAAAAAAAGTCAGGGGGTGCAAGTGCACCCCCTTGCACCCCGCTGCCGGCGCCCTTGCTATACAATTTAGTTTAGCGGTTATTATGAGCAGAGCAAATATGACTTTTCGAAGCCACATACTCTTATGATAGAAGATGAGTACCTCACGAACGTTGTTTGAATATAGATTTTTAAAGCAATTGAATAACTTATTTTTATTTTTCAGGATTTTTCTGGTATTGAAGAAAAACTAATGGCAATAAAATTATATATTTTTCGCAGTATTCTAATGTTCAAACTAATTCTAATAATTCATCTAGTACCATGACTCACAGTTTCAAAACCTCTACTTTAATTTACAGACTAATTTTTTACTTATTAATTTGAAAGAAAAAACTTGTTTTTGCAGATAACGCATCCTGCTTAGAAGGGAGTGTTGTACTTAGAAGAAGGAATGGCTTTTATCTCATCAATGTTTACATCCCTACAATACTGATTGTTATCATGTCCATGCTGACGTTTTGGATACCCCCAGAAGCTGTCCCAGCACGGGTGACACTAGGAGTCACAAGTCTCCTTACTATCATTACTAAGCAATACCAGGCTTCCATGCCAAATGTGTCATACATTGTTGCATTGAACGTTTGGTTATCTTCTTGCATCGGGTTCGTTTTTTTAAGTCTCCTAGAATTCGCAACTGTTATTGCTCTAATGGCAAGATCGAAGAATTCAAGTAGTCTTGCAAATGAAGACGAATCAGAGTTGATTTTAGGAATGGTATGTAAACTTATTTTATTACCTTTTTTAAGAAAAAATCGCACTAAGTTTGTTCAGCGTATTTTCGTCAGAAGAATTGCATCTAATAGTGGGTTGGTTCATCCTGTATCAACTAGCTCAAAATTTATATAAATATTTTTAAAGTTTTTAGGTTTCAATCTTCAACACACAGTGATTGAAACAAATGACTATAATCGATTTGTTTTATCCAGTAGATTAGTAACTCGTTCGCAGAACAAGTTGGGATAAAATTAAAAAAAAAATAATAATAATAAATAAAAAAATTTTTCAAAACAATTTTTTATTCTAGTCCACTAGTTCTCACTAGGCCTTAAATTTCGTGAATTTTTATGTAAGAAAAAGAATATCATTTTAAATTTTTCTATATCGATTGACAATTTTTGGATTAGGTACATGGCAACAAGCCATGTTGAAATCTAACATCTACAAAGATGGAATAAATACAACACATTTTTATACATATTTGATTTAAGGAGAGGGGATACATCAATAATGCTAAAACTAACCTTTCTCGATGTGACTTTTCTAAGAAACTACCTATGATATCGCTTTGAAATTTTTTGGGGATATTTGAGAGTATATTAGTTGTATGCTATGACAATGTTTTAGAGTAATAGGAATACTTTTTGAGTTACGAAAGATTTCTGCTCAAAAAATTAAGAATTTTTTTTTTGAAATTCAAAAGTTCTCAGTCCTTTTTTTTTTTTTTTTAAATATTTTCTCCCAGATATTTGTTAACAGTTATTACAGTGTAAACATGTATATGTTTACAGTGTACATGTTTATGTTTATGTTTACAGTGTACATACAGTGCACATGTACTGAGAAAGAAAACTTAAGCAATATCGTGCTTAGATGCTGCGAAAAGGTACATAGAAAAAAGTCAGTTTTAGCATTATTGGAATATGCCCTACCAACTCCCCTTAGTTCATCATTCTTAAAAAAGAGGACTTACCTGACATATTTTCTAGGAAAAAAACTGGAAAAAAAGCACGAAACATTTGTGAGAAAGATTGTTCTACAGTTTGTTAAACTAGCTCCTGTTTAAAAATGAACTAGAAGAAAAACTTACTTGCCTCAATAAGTAATTACTTATCTATGTCTTTCATTCGAGGACGTTATACACTGGAAGAGACCCTTCAAGGTAGTTTTTTTTTTTCAAAGCACAAATGAGTTACTGTTAGAATTCCGCTCTAAAATTGTGCGGTAAAATAACCGGCAGCAGTCTGTTCATCCAAATAACAGTTAAGTTTCCGGGAAAGAATATTTTTTTACCTTTACGGTTTTGAAACCATTTACAACTAGTATGGTTTAAAAACCATAAATATAAAACCATGTGATTTTTAACCAATTACAAATAGCATGGTTTCAAAACAGTAAAAAAGAAATTTAGCTCAACATTGGAGATAGTTTAGCAACTTTAGGATGTTGTCATCTATGCGTGAATGAGAGTATCGTATTCTGATAGTCCAGGATCACAAGTTCGCGAGTACAGCATACTAGAAACTCTTCGCATGTTAAAGGGGATATTGTGGTGTCAGGCCTAGTATTGCTGGGATTCGAACCACCGTTCTATCGCTTAAGAGATTGTCAGATTAACTCTCTAGACTATAATATGCACCTATTTGCAAGGAATTAGGAGGTTTCATTAGGTGGTTCTAGTTGGAGCTATAAAATTCTGGTCACTTAACCGTATTAGGGGAAAGCAGTTAATAAACTGGTTTTCACACAGTTAAGAGATTGAATACCATCTTATTTATAGTTATTTGACTGTTTTGTTTCAATATGGTAAAATAACGATTAAATAAATAGTTAGTTAACCATTTTTAGAGTAACCATGTATAGAGAAATAGAGTTCAGATAAACTTGAATTAAACCATGAAGTTTCAAGACATTAAAATGAAAACTATTTATAGTACGATTACTCAAAATTAGACAGTGGGAAAGTAATTTTGTAATAATTTTTCGCACTTTTACATTTTGTAAACATTTTTTTCAGCATTTTAAACTTTATTATTTAGTCTAGGTTTAACTGAACTCATTTTTCTCGAAATTTCAAAATACCAAAAAAGGCGAAAGATAATTTGCCATTAAAAGTTTTTCCCATAGTGCAGCGTTCTCTTATGAGGGCTCTAATCATTGCAATTTTGGAATCTTGGTTTAAATTTTGATTATTTTCGTTTTTATGATATTTTTTTTCTGTGCTTTACAAACTTTTGAAAATGAAAACACCACAAAAACTTTCAAAAATGGTGCAAAAGAAAGGGGTTGCTATATTAGACGTGAATAAATATTAGCTTTATGTAATTTCTCTCAAAACTTTAAAACAATAAAAATAAGTGCAATTTGTGGTTCTAAGTAAGTCATTGAAAACTACACTTTTGTATGTTTTCGGACTTCTTAAATTGTAATATTATTACAGATTAAGTGGATGAAAACAGATTTGAATGAAAGTAAAAAAAAAACAAAAGTATAACGTAAATTGCACAAAAACAAGCATATTTATCAAAAATCTAAAAACAGATAAATGTAGACTGTTTAACTACCTACAACTGTATTGGTAAAATGTCTCGAGAAAAAAATTTAATCAAAATTAAGAGAATCTAAAATTTTACACGCTTTATGTCTCAAATTTTGATTAAATGACGGCCCTTTATTTTATATGTATCGTAAGTTACTGCCGAATACGGTCAAAATTCCCAATCAGTTTATTTGTGAAAATTTAAAAAAAAGAGAGGACTAAAACCATGCTTAGAATTTACTCTCCCCGGTTCGGTCGAAAGGAAAAAGGTCTCTTAAGGCAGGGGTGGTTTTACATAGAACTGTGGATCAGAGTATACAAAACTTGTCTGCAGTATGCACATCATCATCATAACACATAATCTTTTCACACATAACATCATTCACATAATCTTTTTTTTTTCGCATTATCTTCAATATTTTAAATAGTAAGAAAAAACTTGTCTTTAATCAGTAACACTATCTTACTTATATAGATTACAAGGACTATGCATATTTTTTTCAAATTATTTGTATTTAAATGTAGCACATTTTTTCTCTTACATATATAGATTTATATGTATATTTTATAGATTCTCTTGAAAGCCAATGGGACATGGTCAACAGCAAAACCCATGTCTAATTTAGTTACAAAGAAAAAATCCTGCTTAAAACCACTGCAACTTGATTACTTTTCAAGAGTACTGTTTCCTTTGCTCTTTATTATCTTTAGCATTGCATACTGGAAATATTATGGAATTAAATAAAGAAAAGTTGCATTTCCTGTCTCTGCATGTTTAAACATAATTGACTTAATTGAAATAGCTTGTAAATGAACTTGTAAATAAAGTAAAATACCTAATTTGTACAAATAAATTGTGTTAATTTGTGCAAATACTTAGTACATATTAAATCAGATCTTTCTACGACTCTTTTATAATATTTTTAAGAAGTTAAATTACATCCAATTGATTATTTAGAAAAAAGTTATAAATGTCAGTGGCATGACTCTCATTAGTATTTTTAAAAAGTTAAACTGCATTCAATGGATGATTTAGATACAAGTAATAAATATCAATGGAACGACTCTTGTTAATATTTTAAGAAGTTTCGATGGGATTCGGGGGTTCTGCTTTCGATGGATTATTTTTTTTTAAAGTGTCTTTTATTAATATTTTTAAGAAGTTAAATTACACTCAATTGATTATTTAGAAAAAAGTGATGTATGTTACTGGCATGACTCTGATCAATATTTTTAAAAAGTTAAACTACATTCAATGGATGATTTAGATACAAGTAATAAATATCAATGGAACGACTCTTGTTAATATTTTAAGTAGTTAAACTGCTTTCGATGGATTATTTTTTTTAAGTGACAAATATCAATGGCACGTGTTTTATTAATATTTTTAAGAAATTAAATTACACCCAATTGGTTATTTAGAAAAAAGTGATAAATGTCAGTGGCATGACTCTTATTAATATTTTTAAAAAGTTAAACAACATTCAATGTATGATTTAGATAAAAATTATAAATATCATCGGAACAATTCTTGTTAATATTTTAAGAAGTTAAACTGCTTTCAATGGATGATTTTTTTTTAAGTGATAAATATCAAAGGCACTTCTTTTATTAATATTTTTAAGAAGTTAAATTACTTTCAAAAGATGATTTAAAGCAAAACAATAATTTAAATATCAGTTAGCTTATACTTAAGATAATTTATGATGTGATTGACTTATGTAACATTGAGAAATCAGTTATCATTAGAAAAAAAATGGGCTTTCAATGAGCTTTAAATGTATTTTCCGTAAAACTAATAACACTATGAAGAAAAGTCATTTATAAAAATGTATGCTTTAAATTTATTAATTGATAAATATTTTCCTAAACTAACTTCTTTCTTTTTTGTTGACTTTTTTGCCCTAAATGGAAAAGTTAAAATCTTTTTACTGGTGTAGCAAATTAAATTATTGTGGAAAAATGTTCAAAATATGCTAAATCATTATTGAGGTCATTTATAATAATTTTGTAATCAATTTTTTTGTAAGATGCTAATAACTTTAAATTTAGTAAAAATCATTTTACTTATTCGAAGTTACTCCAACTTTTTTGATTTTCATTCAATTTTTTTCTGATAAAGTACCTTGAAATTTAATGCATTTTTCTTTAACTTAAAACTTGATGTTTTCAACTATTTCTTTATTTATTTTTAACAATTCTATGTTATTGAAACGATAGGATAATAATAAGCAAGTTAACTTCTTGAGTATCATTGAAGCTTTATAAAGCAATGATAAGCCATACTAAAACACTAAAATGTAGATAAGTGCTGATAAATATGCGCGCGAGTGCAATTGCATTCATATCATTTAAATGATATGAAATGTAAAGTGTAAATCATATTAATACAATTTTCCTAAAACTCCTAGATAAAAGTTAAAAACCTGCAGTAACTTCTTTAAGTTTTAGAATGACAATGATAGTTAAATTTTTTACTCACCTCACTGAGCAGGAAAATTGAGGCAAAAATATTTCAAATGAGAATAATTTCCTTATACTCACTTAAAAATTTGGGAAAAGAACAATAACTTTAGAAATTGGGGAGTTATTCCATATAATATAAAATACTTATCTTTACTTCTCCAATAAACGAATGAAAATCGATTTAAGATTTGTCTTTATTTATTAGATTTTAAAAAAAAGTGCGTGTATACTCATAAAAGCGGGAAAAAAATTTTCTGCTTTAATTTCTAGTGCTGCCATCTGTAAACATCACTTGAAAGTTTATGCAAGAGATTATTTTTGATTATTTTTACTGTAAAATTTTTAAAAAAAAAGAAAAGAAATAGGTAACGTTATTGAAAAAATTAAATTCTACGTGTATATATTTTTATTTGTTATAGATATTTTGGATTGTTATTCAAATAAATAACTATATTAAAATACCATTTTCACAAATAAATTATGTCATATTTCCTTTGTTTTCATATTCCTTTGTTCAACGCTGTTTAGACTAAATATTATTATGTCAACAGCAAAATTTTTATTCCATGTTAAGTAATAAAAAATAAGAAAATATGTAAAATAAATATAATGAATCAAATAAATTAAATTAAATAAATAATTATAAATATAAAGAAATTTAAAAAGCAAGATAAAATTGATCAAGATGTTCTTGTGTAACCAAATTTATAAGTTTGATGCTATAAAAATATCTTTCCGGAAAACAACAAAAAAGCAACAGTCACAGCAAATGACATCGCTGTAGTTTAGGTTTATACGTTTGAATTAAGATATAAACTTTTTTTTTCTTTTTTAAATTGGGAGCAAAAGTATCAAGTCAAAACAATTGAGTTGATAGAAAAAATCCTCATTAATTTTTAAACAAATTAGTTGACAGAAAAAATCATCACTCTCTTTAATAATTTAAGACTCACATTGTTTAAAATACAATAAAAAAGACTAACATAATATAATTTATTTATTTTTTGCTATGCAAAAGTATCAAGTCAAAACAATTGTCAAATTTGTTGATAGAAATAATCATCACACACTTTAATAATTTAAGACTCACATTGTTTGAAATACAATTAAAAAGACTAATATAATATAATTTATTTATTTTCTGCTATGCAAAAGTATCAAGTCAAAACAATTGACAAATTAGTTGATAGAAATAATCACTACTCACTTTAATAATTTAAGACTCATATTGTTCGAAATACAATTAAAAAAGACTTACATAATATCATTTATTTATTTTTCGAAATGCAAAAGTATCAAGTCAAAACAATTAACAAATTAGTTGATAGAAAGAGAGAAACAAACTTTTAAACTTTCCTGATACGGAAGCTGTTGAGATGAGCACATTACCTAAGTATAATGCGGAAAAATCTTGATTCCACACTCTAATGCGGAAAAATCATTTAATCTAGGTAATGTGCACAATAACGGTTTTTGAGTTTTAGCGCTAACAGAAACACATTTAAAAATGTTTCTTGCAGCTATAATACTAATAATAGTTTTATACTAATGATGGTTTTACAACCCAATGATATCCATGCATTAAAATGAAAGCTTCAAATATTAATTGTATCTCTTTACATTGTTTATACGAGGTGTAACAAACAGAACTAAAAAATTCTGTAGTCTTTCTTATTGCGAAATCTTAATTCCTTTCATTGACAAACATGTTTTTATTGTGATATGTGTGAGATTAATTCATTCTGTTAGTATTCATTATTGACAAAATTTTCAATTTGCTTTCATTTACCGAAATAAAAGAAAATTAATAAATAAACTTCGAATTATAATTTTTTACAGGTTAATGATAATAGCTATTGAGATGTTTTCCCCTTTATTAATTGCAAGATTTATTTATTTTAATATCCCTATCTTGTGGTCGCTCAGGGGATAGAGCGTTCTCTTTCAAATGAAGTGAACCGAATTTCGAATTTCAGCGATAGCTGTGGTAGATACAAATTCCGCACCCGGCCTACACCGACCACTGTACTGACCTAAAGTATCCTCAGTGGTAGACGGATCATGGGTTAGAGTCCCTTTGCCGTCAGGTTAACAGAGGGAGGTTTTCGTGGTTTTACTCTCCGTGTAACTTGCTAACTCCCTATGTATGTTGGCTGACAAGCTGTCGTTTCGTCAAGGTAAGTATGGCGCCTATGTAGCATGATACTTAAATTAAGCGTAAAATTTGGGGAAAGTTGGCAAAGTTAATACTCCTTATGTGTAAATCTTACGTAATATTGGCGAAATGACATTACCATTGAGATATTTGGGTACAAAAGCTTTGGTACATTTTACGCGATATTAACCGAATGGACTTTACCAACTACCCACCGGTAAGATTTCGTTCGTATACTATTATAGAATATTATATATTCGGAATATTTACTATTTAGATTTAGTAAAAATGATTCTGTGTATTTTATGTATTATTGACAAAGCAAATTTGACATTTAAATTTCGATAAATTTTGGTTCGTATTTATTTACGTAAATTTTCTCTTTTTTGGACAACTACTTTTTTCTGCATCTTGTCGTTTCAGCTTATGTACATTTTAACGTACTGTTGAGGCAAATAATATTTTAAAATAACGTACTCATTTTTACCTAGTAAAAAGTGGTTAGTGAAATATTCGTAAAGGAAACGGATTAGGCAAAACTTTGCGTACATTTTACGTATGTGGGATAACCATTTTTGCTGTAATTTGACGTTTCAGTGAATTATCATTCATCAGATGAAATATACGCATTTTAACTTATGTACATTTTAACGTACTGTTGAGACAAATAATATTTTAAAATAACGTACTCATTTTTTCCTAGCAAAAAGTGGTTAGTGAAATATTCGTAAAAGAAACGGATTAGGCAAAACTTTGCGTACAGTTTACGTTTGTGGGATAACCGTTTTTGCTGTAATTTGACGTTTCAGCGAATTATCATTCATCAGGGGAAATATACGTATTTTTGACGTAAAATTGACGGTTCTCTGTTACTCAGGGACTTACAAATACAATTAGATGAAATAACTTGCATGGAATAGTGAATAGGTTCAGAGAAAAATACAGCATAAATTTATATCATTACTTGTCAATGAAAATGTTTATCCCAATTTTAATTTCCAAACAAAGCAATAAATATTAATTTAAATCAAAATGTTCATTTCTTTAGTAAAATATGAGATTCGAATCCTGTGTTAATGCTATTTTTTTTCTGAATTAGTAACCATAAAACACATAAAATTTCCACAATGCATTAAATCACACAAGACATTCACTCCAAAATTATAGTGTAATAGTGTTTTTAATGAAGAAAATTTTTCAAATCATATAACTTTTTTTAAAAAAATTAAGAAATAAGCATTTAAATTTTAATTTTTAAAATAAAAGATTAATTTAGCGTTAATTATACTTTAGATAAAAGTTTTCTCATACATTGTGGTCTTCTGCAGATGTAAAAAATGACTGAAAAATGAATATTTAAATTTAAAATGAAGATTTATCAAAAGGTACAATAAAAGAGCATTTTCAAAAACAGTTTTATGCAGACCACACTTTTCTTGCAGTTGTGGAACACGGATTTTTCCACCCTCTGAAAACGGTATTTAGTTCCACAGCAGCGGCGATTGTTAGGCGATCATTCAATTGTCCACTAACTACTTGTATACCTATTGGCAGACCGTTATGCAGACTCACAGGTACACTTGTAATGGGTACACCAAAATGATTGAAAATCGGAAAATACATCATATTACGCAATTTTGTTATGGATGAGTGACAAAATGGTGCTGTGTCTGGCGCTGCGGGAAGCAAAAAAATAGCTTCTTCCTGAAATATCTTTTGAAGTTTCTTTTCCAGTGAATCCGCTATTTTCATAGTTTCATAGTAAATTTGATCTTTTTCATTTTTTTCTAATATTGCGGTGAGAAGAAAAGGAAAACAGTGCTCTGATATTCCGACCATGAATTTCAATATTTCCAACCACAAGTGGACTTTTCCGTTTTTATCAGCCAATAACCTTTTGCTCAAGAAATCAACATCCAAAACTTTATATTTAAACAGATCGAAGCTGTATTCAAACTCTGGCAGCTGCAATTTGATTGCTTTCACTTCAAATCGCTCTTCAAAATGTGTTACTGCCTGAAAAAATTAATTTATATGTTAAATTAATAAGGAGTAACTGGAGTACTTAGCTGCCCAAAGCTCTAATGACAGTATATAGCACCCTCATTTCATCATTTTAAACGAAAGAACATCAATAGTTTTTTTACCTTAATAAATTTATAAATTCTACGCGAAGAATTGAAAGAATTCATCCTCCTTTATATAAAGTACTGTTCACGACGTACAAAGACGGGTAAAGTATAGAAAGATTCAAGTTTTTAGTACATTACATACTACGAATATTCCATGAATACTTGTGAAGGACTAAATTCATAAACCCATCACACAATGCCAACAACGATGAAAAAATGCATAACTGTTGCTGTGACGGACATTTACAGAATGATGCTATTGAAGGTATGAGCAGAACTGTTTTACCTTTAGCGCAGTGGTTCCCAATTTTTTTCGCCTGTGTGCACCTTAAATAATCGACCTTGTTGCGAGGAAACCACCCTCTTTATATTTAAACATACAAAGATAATCGAGAAAGCATGAACCAAGAAAGACTATTAGTTATTAATCATTTTATATTTAGAAATATTAAAATAGGTTTCATGTCCGGTAGTAGTACTCGCATTCTTGGAGTCGCATCTAGTCTATAGTCATGAATTTGATTTTGGAGTATATGTTACGGCCAAAGCCCGTATTCGGCCACTTCGCGAATTGGCCAAGAACGCTGTAAATTGGCTGGCCAATGTCCGATCTTTTCTTGGTTTCGGGAATTGGCCGGCCAGATCGCGAAGTGGCATAGGATGGCTGGCTAATGTCCGATCTTTTCTTGATTTCGGGAATTGGCCGGATATAATTACATTTATTCGATATTTTAATACTTACTGACGATAGATTACATTTATTCGATATTTTAATACTTACTGACGATAGAATAGAAGATAAATATCGGGCAAATGAATACCGGGCAGTGACACTTGAACTTAAAACATCAGTGTAGGATATACCGGGCAGAAGCACTTTACTAAACCTAGTATGACCAGACCTTTGGTAAATGTCCGAAATATATACTAGGTCTAGTTAAGTACCACTGCCCGGTATGCATTTGCCCGGGAATTCTTGAATGAGCACATCGTGTTTTGGCCGGAATATTGTGGCCACTTCGCGAAATGGCCGGCCAAAGTGCGAAATAATTGATCGTTTTAATTATTTCGCACTTTGGCCGAGAGGTATAGCCAATTCGCGAAGTGACTGGACTTCGGGCTTTGGCCGTGACATATACATATGTTGAAAATGAATAAAACAAACCCTATTATGGTTTTTGGTGAAATGAAAATGATAAAAAAAAACAGTTTTTAACATTGAAAATGAATATCAGGGAATTTTTCTGCAGTGAAGATTTTAGTTATTTCATTTTAACTTGAAAAGTACGGTAGTAAATGCTAATACAATTTTTCTTATAAATGTTTTAAAAATAAAAACGTTATGGATTAAATATAATGATAATTACATAATTCAAAACTTATTACAGGTATAAAAAGTTCTAATTTCTCGAAACCCCTGCACTCTTTTGCCATTTGGGAATCGCTGCTTTAGTAGAGAAGCGTGTGCAGAGTGTCCAGGCACATAGAATTCATCTAGCATGTTCCAGAAACTTGATAAGTGCATCACACATCTTAGAACGTAAATAAACATTTCTTTGAAATTAGATAAATTATTTCGGCTGACACAAAGATTTGTTTCTGTTTTATTTGACTGTTATGGATTTAAAATTTTAATGCAATATTTATATAACAAAACGTTTGTTAGGTTGATACTGATAATTGAGCTTCATAACAACTGCAACCGAAGCAGATCATACGTTGCAGAGATTTAACGCAAATAAAATTCTTTCCAACTATCATTGTTCCATTGGATTGAATTGCATCAACTAACTAATTTTTCAACCTTCTGCGACAATTCGATACTTTTGAAATTGTATTTTTTAGACAATAGGGAGAGATCGCTTATGTTTACGTCTAAAGTTTACGTCTTCCTAAACATGATAAAATGTTTTTAATCTGGAACTAATATATTATAAAAAAATTATTCAACTATTCTAATTTAAATAATTATACTTTACAATAATTTCAAATAAATACATTGTGATAGTAGATCAAAATTTTTATTGGTTATATCCCTTCTGGCGTCAAAATGACTCTTATCTTGCAGTGGACCGAAATAACTTTAACTTGTATTGTCATTGGATATAGGACTCCAATTTTATTTTGAGCACTTTAATTATTATTTTTAAGAAATATATCGATATATTGATTGGACATGCAAAGGTTGGACAAAAACATGGTTACACTTCTATAAACCTATCTTCTTCTTAGCAGCAAATATTTTGGAAGATTTTACATGACAAAACTGTTAGCTTATTTTGAAAGATCTTGTTTGAAACTTTTAGAAGTGAGGTCATATTCGCACGTGCAAAATTTGCATCGTCCAAAATGAGGGTATACGAAGTTAAAAGCTTTTTCTCATTTTAATTCAGGTATATGTTTAAAAGCATTCTCTTATAAATACTGCACTCATACAGTATGATTTCACAGTTACTTAAGTAATGAAGTGGCCTCGTTGGCCGGTTACTCGTTCGTGTTATGTTCTAGTTTCCACAGTTTATAATTTCACAATTACAGACATTAAAGCTAGTGAGAAGATATTAACTTCCTCTCCTCGTTTCGGTCGATCCGAGTTTTAAATAGGTAAGAAGGGAACATCATTTCCAAACGCCTCAAGCGTGATCTTTCAAACTATGCCAACAATTTTGCCATGTAAAATCTTCCGAAACATTTGCTGCTTAAAAGAGTTAGTGTCGAAGCCCTCTTCTGTAGGTTCTATTAATCATTAAAATGATGATAAATTCTGCTTGTAATGGGCAGGAACGAATTGAAACTTTAATTGTCAATAAACACAGAGCCTCTGTCAGGATTTGACTCCTTTAGCTTGCCGGAAAGTGATCGATATTTTGACCTCAAGATTCTATCGCTAGATACATGAAAGTGGTTTATTAAAAATTTAATATAAAAAGAATACAGTTAGTGTAATATTATTGTTCTAAAAATAATATTCACGAGCTTGTGATACTTTGATTTTTTGAACAACAGTCCAAAAAGCAGATTGGTTAAAATCGAGTTTTTTCTTCGCCACTGCTGAATTATTTGAAAATTTTAGTCTAAGAAGTATAATTAAAATTAATTTATTAAAATATATTAAGTAAGTTAACTTGGTACGATATATCGATGATATGATGCTATACAAACTTACTTTTTTAAATGCTTGCTTGATAGCAGGTAAGACAGGGTTATTAGGTGTTTCTTCCATGTAGTATATTTTAACATTCTTGAAATCCACCTTAAATAATGACGGAAAAATTGAGGAGGAATCATTTTAATAACGACAGACAGAAACGAAAAAAATAATAAATGAGCGTATAAAGGAAGTCTTAAAAAAGTGAAGTTGGATGAATAGAGTGCAAAAATTCGCCACTCCTGTTGCGCATTTTTGCACTTCATTCGTTTGATTCCATATCTCTTCTTTCTAAGCTACACTTATGTATAAAAGTTAAGGAAAACGCAGCTTTTTAATTAACTTAAAAATTTTAAAAAAGAATGTGAACCAAATCAAGTGAAATCTTATACGAAAACACATAAAATAAACGACACTATTAAGAAAGGTATTAGCAAAAATTCAATATCTTTGGTTACTATCCATCCCAGCAAGATAACTTAAAGACCGTGATAGGCCAATGATTGCAGTTTCGGACTCCGGTCTGAAAGGACCGGGACTCGATCCCCGACTCCGCTAAGACCGTGCGATATACGTGCTCCTAAAATGTGTGGAATCGAAAGTCCTGTGGTGGGTTGCTCAACAGTACCATGTGTACAGGGATCTAGAGAAAATTTTCTTCTCATTCAGATCAATGTGTCAATTGGGGAAGGGTCCTCGTGAATGAGTGGTGCCATCTACCCGTGTAGTTCTGAGCTAAGACGTACTTTCACCCTTGCGGAGCTCTCTTATCAGTCGCAGCTTTCTGATTTAATTCGCAAAAAGCCAATGGCTAACAACCTTGTCCTGTCCAAGTGTCACTAGAAAAAACAACAACAAATCACTCAAAAAGGATGGAGCAGAAAGTATCTCAGGGAGGCTTTAATGTGACCTTTCCGATCACTATGCAAGTTTTACAACGAACTCTCGCGCTGTTTTAAAATGTTGACTAATAATAATGAACTAACAATGAGGTTGACTAATAATAATTCGTGACCAATTTATCGGCTGATTTATTGATGAATTCTTTGACTAATGTATTGACTAAATAGTTTACTAATGATTTGACCAATAATAATTTTTGACTAATAATAATTATGAGGTTGATTAATAATAATTTTTTGAACCAATAACTTTCAGCCAAAGCAAATATTGGAGCGTGAAATATATTTCCTCTATTAAGATACATGGATGAAAAAGCTATGGCAAATGCTATCCTTGCTATACAGAAATTCTATGAAGGAAAAAGTGACCTGCAAATCCTAAGAACAGCCCAGAAAATCTATTTATAATTTAAGTCTTAAGATCTGAAGGACTAATCCATCAAAAAAGGAAATTCTTGCAAGCATCAATGTTTGATGCCGCTGAAAAAGATTTTTAATATTTATTTGTTCACAGTAGCCCATGTGTCCACCACTGCTTCGTGGAGTTATTAATTTGCTTAAACTTATTTTTGGTTAACGGATGCCATAAAAAAGAACTCCATTAGACTAGTTCATAGTAGCCCCACACCTATGTGTAAAAAATAGCTCTCTGGATTTATTAGTTTGTTTAAACTAATTATTGGTTAACGTATGATGCCACTAAGAACGACCCAATTACTGTTATTGTAATGAAATTCAGATATCAGTGGATCGAAGAATGACATGGTTATTGGAACATTACACAGAGAGTTACACAGTTGGAACGTACCCTGGGACAGGAAAAATAGAAAAGAACGTCAAAGAAACAGAGTAACTTGTATTTATAGCCTTCTTGGGATAAAACGCAACGTGTAATCAGAACATTCTGATAGCATGCGGATGTAGAAAAAAACTGCTTCAAATAAATGCGATTATAGTTTTTCCTCAACAATTACTATTGACTTGTTCATAGAAGACCCACACGTCTATGTCCAGAATAGCTCCGTGATCATTTGTTTGTTCAAACTCATTTTGACTAAAGAATGATGCTACTAAAACAACTCTATTACTATTGACTTGTTCATAGTGGCCCCACACCAATGTGTCCGAAGAAGCTCCGTGGAGTTTTTAGTTTGTTTAAACTCATCTTTTGTTTAACTTATGACGTCACTAAAACGACTCTATGATGTCTTTAAGAATCTGACTTGTTCATAATAGCCCCACACCTATGTGTTCTCAATTGCTCCGTGTAGTCATCAGTTTGTTTAAATTCATCTTTTGGTTAACTTATGACATCCCTAAAACGACTCTATGATGTCTTTAAGACTCTGACTTGTTCATGATAGCCCCACACCTATGTGTCCTCAATTGCTCCGTGGATTTATTAGTTTGATCAAATTCATCTTTTGGTTAATTTATGACGTCACTAAAACGACTCTACGATGTCTTTAAGAATCTGACTTGTTCATGATAGCCCCACACCTATGTGTCCTCAATTGCTCCTTGGAGTTATTAGTTTGTTCAAATTCGTTCAAATTTATGACGTCACTAAAACGACTCTATGATGTCTTTAAGAATCTGACTTGTTCGTAATAGCCCCACACTTATGTGTCCTTAATTGCTCCGTGTAGTTATTAGTTTATTTAACATGTTAACATTATTAGTTTATTTAATTATTATTTTTGGTAAACATGTGATACCACTAAAATCGACTGTATTACTATTGACTGGTTCATAGTAGCCCCCCCCCACCTACATATCCACAATTCCGTGGATGCATTAGTTTGTTTAATCTCACTATTGATTAGTTAAAAAAAAAGGTAGTCAAGTATGATTATTAAAATGTACAAAAACCATATTTATTCACAATATAATATTTCCTGTTCTTAAAAATGATGAATAGCAATAAAGTTAAAATTAAAGTAAAAATTAAGAAGTCACTTTTCCACCAGAAATACTTCATTTTTTAACTTGCTAAGCAAAAATCAATAGTTACATCATATAACTACTCCTGAAAGTGGAAAACAGTTTCTGTTTTTTTCTTTTTCCGTAGTTATCGAGGAATATTTGAGTGATAAATAGCAAAAATATTCCATTTGTCTACACTAGTCGCATGTTCACAGTAGCTCTCGTTCACTTAACTCACAGTTGTGTTTATGTGCATTGGTGGTGTTTTTGGACATTTTTGATTTGTGTGAGATAAGAAAATTTGATAAAAAGCAAACCAGTTTATAACATGTACCTGTTTATCAAGATCCAACCTGGGATCATTTCGGCTCAATACTTTCATTAGAAGAAGTAAGTCTTCAGCATATCGACACATAGGACCGGTGCAGTTTATGTGATCAAATGACATTTCTTCAGGCTCAATCCAAGGAAAATAGCCTCGATTTGACACAACACCTGTTAGAAACATATATGTATCATCGCGTAAAAAATAAGTTAGTGAACAAAATTTATTAAGTCAAATAGAAGTGTTATTTTGTCTTCTTCAAATTTTTACGAAGATAGTTCGCTAATTGCTCTATAGCTTTAGATATGTTAGGATCATTCAGCAGAAAACTCGCCCTTTTAAGTCTTCAAACATTAAAATAATAACTTTGTTGTTATTTTTTCATCTAATTTGGCAGATTGTAATTGTTTTTCTTGTTTTTAATTTTAAAAAAAATTTAATTACAAATTTAAAAAGTTTCCTGCGTAGAGTTAGTAACCGTGTTAAGTTTTTTTTTGCAGATTTCTCATATGGCAAAAAAAATGCAATCATCAAATTTTGTTTTTCTAATTTGCACGACTTAAACTAATATATATATATA